CCTTAATCCCGTCCAGATCTTTTCACAATCTTTTTCTGTATAAAAGTACCAATTACTTTTACCAATGGGTACCAAAAGTGCCCATTAAATTTCAAAGATTCTTAGAATCTCAGCGGCCCAATCAGTGTATAATAAAACCTCAATACTCTGAAAGAAGGCTTGAATGGTTGAATTCTTTTGAGGCAGACCCACTCTGTACCCTTGCATTTCAGGGTTCCTAGCACTCTAAACTGCAACACGTTAGGGCCAGGTTGTGAAGGACTTTAAAAGCTAAAAGGGGGAATTTATATTTTATATTTTTTTATATTTATATTTTATCCTAGAGGCAATAGGAAGTCCCTTGAGTTGACTGAGTAGGGGAGTCACATGGTCAGACCTGCACTTAAAGAAAAGTTCTATTTAGTTGAAAGCATGGCACAATTTCTTCAAGGTAGACCAACTCAGTCTCCTCCTATTCAGTCCTGGGCCCAGCTCATGTTCCCTCTTCGATGATGTCAAAGTTACACATATTGCTGGACCAGTGGGCTGCCTGTTCAACTGCATGCATGCATGTGTGTATGTATGTATACATATGTATGTATGTATATGTTGTTTTCTCCTGATAGAATATAAGCTCCTTGAGGGCAAGGACTGCCTTCCTTTTGTATTTGTGTTCCCCAGTGCCTAGAACAGAAAATGGCACACAGCAAGTGCTAAATAAATGCTTGTTGAGTAATTGATGTCACCTGGGCATTCTTCATGCATTCTTTATGCATTCTTCACCCATTTAATTTTTCCTGAGTGGATTATTTGGCTAATAATAAAAGTGCCCCTGGATCTTACTGGAAGCACTCTTTCTTCTTCTTCCTTTTAAATGTTTTCATTCGTGCTTTTTAAAATCAATGTCATTTCCCAATGACCATTTCCCTTGTAATAAGTAAATGCAGTCAAACAAAACAAAGCAACGAGTTGTTCATGAATGCCTCCTTCACACCAATCATTTACCATCTCCCAGTTGACAGAAGCCCTCAGGATAGCAGGAGCACAGTTATCCTTTCCACATCAAAGGGATTAGGGGTGCAGGCACCCAGAGATCTGGAAAATCAATGTAAAAAATTTTGGCCCTCCCTTTGTACCAGAGAAATCTGAATTATTATGGTACTAAAAGATAAAAATATGTTGATACTATACAATACTAAACATATATATTATGCATTTCTGAGTTTCTAAACTTCTGGGTCACCTGTGGTTTCCACAAAAATCCCTGAAAATTTCCGTTTAATTTCTTATGCTGACCCGCAATATATTGAAACCATGATGGGGAAAGTCACTAACTATCTGAAGAGCCTCACCATCTATAAGAACTACTTCTATTTGGATTCTGTGCTGGACAGCCTGAAAAACCACTGTCACCTTTGATGAGCATAGGTCTCCCAATGAATAATTTAACTATGTTATTTTGAATAGAGGCAGCATGACATACAATGAATAGAAAAGTGCCTCAAAGCAGAGGAAGGCTGACTTTAAAACCAGATTGATCAATCCTGACTGGTCAAACCACTTAGTTCTCTAGGCAGCTCAAAGAGAAGGGGCTGACTTGCATTGGTAAAGGGAGTTTCCTTACCAAGAATTCCCTAGACCAATGAAATCCCAGGTTGCTGTCCAATCTTTATTTTGAACAGCAGCAGAAAGCTCTGGATGACGGTTTCCAGATTCATGAGAAGTAGCATGGCAGAGTAGAAGCAACTCTAACCTGTGTTTTGCTTATTTTTATATCCCCAATGCTTATCGCAGTACCTGGCAATAGTAAACACTTAATAAATGTTTATTGACTGACTGACTGACTGACTGATGGAGCAGCATTTGAGACCAATCTTTAGCAGTGTCTGAGACAATTCCTAACTGGACAAGTCGATTAACCTCTCTGAGCCCCAGTTTCCCCACTTATAAAATAAGATAATAGCAATTATGCTAGCAGTATGGGCACCTTAAAAGTATGATGGAATTGTGAGTTATTATTATTATTAAAGGTCACTAGGAGTCAGCAGCGTGGTATGGCAACTGAAAAAGCTAACTGGGGCTGCATCGAGAAGCATAGACGCTTCCTAGAGTGAGGAAGGGAGAGCTCTGCAGCCAGACAATACCCAGAACATTGTAGTCAGTTCTGGGCACCACAGTTTAAGGAAGGCATTGATAACCTGGAGAGTGTCCAGAGTAGGGTAACCAATATGGCGGAGGGAACAGCTTTTACTTATTAATCACTTATCACATGCCAAGCACTTTTTGTAATTGGTATCTCATTTTATCCTCACAACAACCCTGGGAGGGAGGTGTTATTATCTCCATTCCAGCTGAGGAAACTGAGGCACAAAGAGGTTAAGTGATTTGCCAAGGTCACATTGTACCAGGACTTCCACTATGCCCCCTAGCTGCCTCTGAGTCTTTGTCACATGAAGGCCCATTATGGAGCTGTGTATGTTTATCCTATGCTACGCAGTGGATGGAGTGCAGGCTTGGAATCAGGAGGACCTGAGTTCAAATCCGGCCTCAAATACTGTGTGACCCTGTGCAAGTCACTTAGCCCTGTTTGCCTCAGTTACCTCATCTGTCAAATGAGCTGGAGAAGGAAAAGGCAAACCACTCCAGCGTCTGCCAAGAAAACCCCAGATGGGGTCACAAAGAGTCAGACACGACTGAACAACAACATTTTTTCCTTTAAAAGAGAAGACTGGGGGGCACATGAGGGCAGCTGTGTTTAAATATCTGAAAGGTTGTCACATTTAAGAGGGATTAGATATGTTCTAGTAGGTCCCAGAAGGCAAAATATGGAGCAATGACTAAATTGACCCTTGATGTCAGGAAAGAAACAAAGTGATCACAAAGTGGAATAAATTGCTTCTGGCGTGAGTGGGTATTCTCTCACCCAGGGTCTCCAAGCACAGGCTAGGTGAGCACCATTTTAGCTTATGGCATCCCAAAGGTCTAAGTGCTGTTTGAAGCTTTTAGCCCCCCTTGTTGTGAAGATTACTTTCTGGGTATGCGGTTAGACTGGATTGGTGGTGAGGTTCCTCCCAAGTCTATGATTGTGTGATTCTGTAATTCATACACTTTTTCCATCTTACCAGCTTGTCCTTTGGAGGAGGTCAGGATGGTGAGCAGGCTGAGACTATAACCACAGCCCTCCCTCCCACCAAGACCAAAATACATCAGAGGTCAAATGCCCCCTCTCAATTCCAGGGGATCCTTATACCCATGAAGCTACTGGCAGATAAAGTCACAGAACCACTGCTGGTGGGAAAAGGATGCCACAGAGCATCAGAAGGAGCTCAAATCAGACCTCTCTTTTAAGCGACCCAGAGTTGAACTTCCCTGTATTATTCATGTGGAGCTCTCCAGTCCATATGAAATCATCTAAATATTTAACATGCCTCCTCGGAATAACACACAAACCTAACAGCAGTTAGCAACAGCTGCAGATGGGCCCAGATCAAATGACTTGGGGGTTTAAAGTGAAAGAGACCAACCCATCTTGGTCTAGAAAGCCTAGAAAAATGGCAGACGCTAAGTACTGGTGGCCTGCCCTCTCAGACATTGAATCAGACAAGCTACCCTTCTGTACATCTCGAGAGAGAAGAAAAAGGGGAAAAAAGGAAACTCTATTAGGTTAGAATGAAAGCCTTGGAAAGACGGTGGCAGACACAGGTAATGATATTTAACAGAGAGTCCATGGTACATTTCCCTCAGACAAAGAAAAAGCCAGGAGGCCTTCCCAGGGCTGACTTCTTCAATTCCAAAAGGCAGATTTAAGATCAGGGCTTCAACTGTGCAGGGGGGCGAAATTTATCCAGGCAGATATGTACAAGACAAAATGTCAGATCCAGACCCACCAAAGCCATTTCCAAAGAGAAAGAATTCTTCTGAGAAGTGACCTAGACATGCATCCACTTAAGCTTGGAGATGGGGGAAGATGAGAGGAAACACACCCTTCTGAGTGTCCCCACAGGTACTGCCTCCCCTTCTCTATCCTCTCAAGCCACACCACTCTTTGAGTCCCAATTGTCATTATCGTTCTGTCACTGGGAAAGGCACTCCCGTCCGACACATTCCTGCAGACACCCAAAGTAGCGCCGGCGCCCCTCCACCCCACCCCAGCTCCTGTCATGGGGAGGGCTCTTCAAACAGAAAATCCTATAGGATTCCCCCACAATGCGAGGGGGTCATTAGAATGCAGACAGAGGGGAAACTAGGATTTGCCGTTTGGTGAGACATAAAGGAGGTCATTAAAAAAAAAAAACCCAACAACAACAGGGGAGAAAAAAAAATCCACCTCACAAGGAGAGCCCCGCCTCCGCCGCCGTCTCCCCCACCCAGTCTCCAGGCAGACCCCACCGGGCAGCGCCCCCTAGTCAGTTTCAAGCCCCAGTCTGTCAATTTCTCGTGACAAAGCGTGTTGGCAGGACTGGACAAACCCATCGGGATATTTCTCTTAAAGAAGACGGACTGATTGAATTGCTGTCCTGTCCGCCACCCCTACCCCATCCCCGCCATCCTCAACAAAAACAGCAAACAAAAAGCCCAGCCTGGGAAAACAAAGACCCGGGTGGGGGGGGGGGGGGGAGAGGAGCCCTCAAACGAGGAGGAAGGCTCTTGCCACCCCAGGGCAAAGAATTCCATCCACCTTTTCCACCCTGAGGTCTCCCCCCGTGTCCCCTCCTCACGCAGCAGGGAGCCCTTACAATGATCCCGCAAGGAATTCGGCTTCCTGCAGAAACAGGGTGCGCCTCTGCCCCTGTTTCCCCAATGCAGTACCCGCGTGCCCCGCCTTGCTTCTGCCTTCTCCCGTCTCCCGGTGCCCACAGCCCCGCTCCTTACTGTACCTCCCCTCCTAAATTTAGCGGCCCCGCCGGGTATTAATAGCAGAGGCAGGGCCGGGCAGGGGTAGGGCGAGCGGAATGTGGACTGCCCCTCGGGCGACAGGAGCCCCAGGGAAGAGCCGGTGAGGAGGAAGGAAGCCTACTTACACCACCAGCCTGGAGATGATCCAGGACACCATGGCGGGGGGCACGGCGTGGCGAGCAGCGGAGAGGAGAGGCAGCCGCGGCCAAGGCTGGCCTGGCCTGGCTTGAGCTGAGCTGAGCCGGGCTGAGCGCAGCGCGCTGGGAGGAGGCGGCTGGCTCCGGGAGGCTCTGGGCGCCGGGGCTCCGGGCACGTCGCTGGCTCCGTCCGTCCGTCCGCTACAGCCACACTGAGCAGCCCCGTGGCTCAGCCATTAGCAGGGCGCGCCGTCAGCGCAGCCGCGGCAGGTTCCCAGGACGGCGGCAGAGGCTGCTCCTGCCCCCGGGGACCTGGGGAGGCGGTGGCCGAGCCCGCGATTGGGTAGGACGCACGGGCGGGTGAGAGCCGGGGGCGCTGCCCGCACGCCACTCAGAGCCAGCGTCCGCACCTCGGCACCTTGGGGGGCCCCCGCCAGGCCCCCGGCTACCTGCACCCAAGAGCTGTCAAACCGTGGGCGGATGCAGCCGCCAGCTGGAGAGAGGTGTGAGGAAGGGGCGGGCCTCCCCTCGTCCCGTCTCCCCTCCCCTCCTCATGTATGCAGGCACGCACATACACACGCGCGCACGCACACAACACACACACACACACACACACTTGTGGCAGTGGCAATGTCACAGCATCATAGATTAGGAGCTGCCGAGGAACTGAGAGGTCATTGAAACAACCCCGTTGTTTTACAGGCGATGGAACTGAGGCACACAGAAGGTTCAGTGACTTGCCCAGGGACAAACAGAGCTAGTTTTGTGTCCGCTGAGTGGCCTTTTTCATTCTTACTAGCAGTGCGACACAGGACAAGTTACTTAACTTATCTGAGGGCACGCATTCCCATCGCCTCCGGTTAGCCCCGGCTATGCCCGAAAACTGGAATGCCCTCCCTCCTCCCCAGCACCTTAGAGTCAAAGGTCAGCTGAACCCCCACCTCCAAGGTGAGAGTTTTTCTAACCAGCCCTTCCCCCAAATCCGAGGGCTCTCCATTAAATTACCTTGCAATCATCTTGTTTCTATAGTGGATGTTCAGGGGAAAGAGTAAAGGAGTCAGCTGACCGGGCTTCCAATTCCACCTCAGTCACAACCTGTGTGACCTTGGGTGAGTCACTTAACTACATGTTGTCACTTAATATCTGTTTATGAAGACGGCCTCCACTAGGCGGCGTCCGCATTCCTCTCCAGCTCTGACGCTACGATCCTGTATAAGTTGTCTTCCCTGATAGACTATAAGTTCCTTGAGGGCAGGCATTATTTTTCTTTCTACTTTGAATTCCCAGTGCTTGACACATTTGTTGTTCTTTGGTGGTGTTCAACTCCTTGTGATCCCATTCGGGGTTTTCTTGGCAGAGATACTGGAGTTGTTTGCCATTTTCTTCTCCAGCTCGTTGTAGATGAGGAAACTGAGGCAAACAGGATGAAGTGACTTGCCCGGGGTTACATAGGGAGTAAATGTCTGAAGCCAGATTTTAACTCAGGAAGATGAGTCTTCCTGACTCTAGGCTGGGCAGTCAGGACTGGGCCGCCTAAATACCTGGCACATAGTAGGTGCTTAATAAAGTTAGAAAGACCAGACAATTGATACAAAAATATTATAATTTTACTTTGAAATGAAACTGTTCATCCTACTATCTCTATTTTCTTTGCCTGGTGGATTTTAAAAGCGCTGTTGGCTTTGCTTGGACTTTCCAGATATTCTTAAATTCTGGCCCTTCTAGTGTTAATTGGTTTATTGTTCTGTAAAGGGAAAATAATACAGGACCTACCTACTTCACAGGGTTGGCTGGAGACTCAAATGATATCACTTATGTAATGCATTTTATAGACTTTAAAGCAACACATAAACCTCAGTTTTTGTCATTATAGGATCACAATGTCAATTGTAGGGAAATGAGATTGAGCTAGGAGGCTCAATTGGTTGGCAAGCATTTATTAAGGGCCTACTATGTGCACATATTTATTAAGGATCTTCGATGTGCACATAGTAGGGATATAACAAAAAAGCAAAAACAGCCCCTGCCCTCAAGGAGCTTATATTCTAATAGTGGGAGACAGTATGCACCTAAACAAGTATATACAGATACATGCAGAGAAGATGCAATGTATGGATGGCCAAATACTTGACTATACATATATTATATTCATAGAGCGTATGTGTGTGTGTGTGAATAAGGTAAGGATCTTTAGTTTCATTGGCATGATCACTCTCTCACTAAGACAGATCAGTGACAGAATCAGTGGAATCTGTATGTAGAATATATATATAGTATATGTACATACACACACACACACACACACACCAGCTGTCATTTATTTCACACTAGCTTTGCAGGTATTGTCTCCTGTGTTCTTCACAGCCCTGGCAGGAGCTATGGTTATTATTTTAACACTGTTTTAGAGATGGGGAAAATAGTCCATCGGTCACTCAAACAAGTTGTATAAAACAGGGAAGAGTTTTAATAAGAGCTGTGAACATGCACAGCTGTAAGGCTTGCCAAAAGCTTTACTTATTTGTCTCATTGATACTTACAAAACCAGTATGATGGGTAATACAGATGTTATTATTACTACCTACATATCCACTTCCAGTCTCTCCTTGAGCTTCAATCTACCTCCCTTTGGATATTTTTTTTTCCCCTTTGGATATTTCAAACTGGATGCCCTATAAACATCTCGAATTCAACATGGCCAAAACAGAACTCATTGTCTTTTCTCCAAATCAATCACCTTCCAAATTTTCCTATTTCTGTCAAAGGCACTGCCATTCTTCCAGTCTCTCAGAATGGTAATCCCACTTTCCCTCACTCCGCATAGCCAATCAGCTGCCAAATCTTGATGTTTCTACCTCAGCACATTTCTACTCTTATAGTAGCCACCATCTTGGTTCAGGCCCAGATCACCCGTCACCTAGATTATTACAACTGCCTCAGGTTTTCCCCTATTTCTATGTACTGTTGCCAAAGTGATTTTTTTCTTAGGCACAGAGCTGACCATGGCAGAAATGAATGCCCTCCTTGTCTCAGCCTCAGAGATTTCCCTTCTTCCTTCAAGATGCAGGTCAAGGTCCATCTTCTATGATAAACTTTTCTAACCCTCCCCCCCTAACTTCTGGTGCCCCTCCCTTTCCAACTATCTTGTACTTAATTACTTTTTATTTATTTTACATATATTTATACCTGTGCTTGTTGTCCCTTGTTAGAATGCAAACTACTTGTTAATTGTTGTTGTTGCTTGTCCTTCCTTCTCAAAGGACATCATGAGGGTGACGTCTTGACTTACTCATGGGTTGGATCTAAGTGAGGCAGCGTTTTGCAGTCACCAGCCTCACTCTAACCCTTGTTAGTAGAGATGATTCATTTATTGTATTTGTATCTCCAGTGCTTAGCACCCAGTAGATACATAATAAATGATTGTCAATTGATTGATTTGGTCCAACCTTGGAGATTTACAGATGAAAAACCTGAGGCATAGGGAGCTTTAATAACTTGAAAGGATAAATGACTTGTCCTGGGGAATAGAGCTAGCTAGTGGTAGAGTCACAATCAGGATATTGGTCTCCAAAACCTTAATAAGTCTTGAGCCATAGGGAACTTCAGGAATGGGAGAATCCCTCCATCAGTTCTATCTGTTGCTTGTTCTTCATTTTTGAATAGGACCAGTGACATCACGGGTAATGTCTAGACTTGCATATGAATTGGATTAAGTGAGTAGTAGCAAGACAAAAGTCAAGATGATTGGCAATGGCCCAAGTTGCAGTGGATGACCTTGGCATCCATCTTTGATGCCTGATCAAACTCTAAGCTGTGACTTGGGGGTTGACTCCTATGGGATGTACAAAAGTTAAGTGACTTGCCCAGGTTCATGAAGTAATAAAGGTCAGAGGTGGGGTTTGAACCCAAGTCTTCTTTGTCTTTTTTTTTTGTGAGGCAATTGGGGTTAAGTGATGCTCCCAGGGTCACACAGCTAGTAAGTGTCATGTGTCTGAGGCTGGATTTGAACTCAGGTCCTCCTGACTCCCAGGCTGGAGCTCTACCCACTGTGCCACCTAGCTGCTCCTTTGAACCCAGGTCTTCCTGACACCAAACCCAGCACTCTATCCACTTACTATCCTTGTAGTACTGATCATCCTCCCACATGCCTGCCCACTCCTTAGTCTCCTTTGCTGAATCATCATCAATGTTATGTTCCCTAACTGTGGGTGTTCCCCAGCATTCTGACCTGCCCTTTTCTCCTCTCCATCTCCATTTTGTCTCTTAATGACCTTATCAACTTCAATGGGTTTATCATCTCCATGCAGATGACCCCCAGATTTATATAGTCAATTCACCTTTCCCCCCGAACTTCAGTCCACATCACAAACTGCCTATTGAACATTGCAGATTCGATGTCCTGGAGACATCTCAGTCTCTACATGTCCAAAACAGAAATTGTCATCTTTCCCCCCAAATCTACCCCTTTTCCTCATCTCCCTATTTTTATTGAAGATACCTCTGTTTTTCCAGTCTCCCAGGTTTCCAGCCTTGGTTACATCCTTATGTCTTTACTCTCTCCCTCACTATATAGATTAAGCAAATTGTCATGGATTGATTCACCTCCTCAATTTCTCTTGACTCGATCCCCCCAATCTCCATTCACTAAGCCACTCCCTTTTGTGCAGGCTCCAATCACTTCTCACCTGGACTATTGTCACAATAGCCCTTCCTCAAGCCTCTCCCCTCTCCAATCCATCCTCCACCCTTCTGCCAATGGTATTCCTAAAGCACTTATCTGGAGTTCTGGGAAATCCCAAATGAGGAAACTTTCTATACCAACATGGGTTGGTATCTCATATGCAAGTTGTAGTCTTGAATAGCTGTCTAGAGCACTAAGAAATTAAATGACTTACCCAAAGTCACACATAGTCACTATGTGCCAGAGAC